AGGGAGGGAAAATTAAGGAGTGATCACAGAGATCAGAGATCTCAATTTGAGAATACTTAGCCAATCTAGCCCAGGTCTTCTGAAGCATCTGGCATATAAGGTACTCAGTAAGAATTTAATACCATATTTACTAAGTAGCATAGATTAATAATATAGTAATATCAATAACAATATATTATTAATGGCAGCAAGGTGGAGCCATAGTGGATAGAGTGCTGGACCTGGAGTCAGGAAAACTCATCTTCCTGAGTTCAAATCCCACCTCAGACACTTACTAGCTCTGTGATCCAAGGCAAGTCACTTAATCCTGTTTGCCTCAGTTTTCTCATCTGTCAAATGAGCTAGAGAAGAAAATGTCAAACCTCTCCAGTATCTTTGCCAAGAAAACACTGAATGGGATGGCAAAAAGTCTGACACAACTGAAAAATGACTAAACAATAATACATTATTAAGTATTATATTTTACATACTCCATGGACTCAAGACAAGGACTCTTGAGATTTACCATGAACATTGGAATGATTCCCCAAGGGAGACAGTGAAATAATCATTACTCTGGGAACTTTTAAAACAAGGTCACAACAATCAATCAGAGTCATAGGATCATAGAGCTAGATTTGGAAGGACCTTAAAGGTCATCTGCTCCAACTTCCTAATTTTACAAAACAGAAACCTGAGGCTAGAGGGCAGAGTAACTAGACCAGTGTTGGACAAAGAATAAGTGGCAAAGATGGGATTTGAACCCAGGACCTCTATTGTAAATCCTTTGCTATAGAGATGAAGTAGACCTTTCTGGTTTCTGAGATTTCTGAGTTTCTGACGTTGCCTTTCAAACCCAAGACTTCAGTCTTTGGATGTCAGTCTTGTGAGTAACATCAAGGTAAGGTGTGCAAGGGAAGGACTAGACACAACCAGGTAGCCAACCAAAACCACACAACATTTTGGAGTGGGAAAAGACCTTAGAATCCATCTAGTCTAACCCCTATTTTCATTCAGATCCTTCTCTATTACAGTCTTGACACCTGGTCATCCAGCCTGTGCTGGAAGGCTGCCATTTTGTAGAGAGGCCATGAGTGATCATAGAGGTTCCACAGAACAAATTCTGGCTCAGGATCCCTTCCTGGCATCTGTCACTGTGGCCCCCAAACACTTCCAACTGATGCTGCCTAGCCCTTTTATTAACAAAAAACATTAAAATGCCTGCTGGTCTCACTAAAAATAAGGAATGGTATATCTTCGGGTACTGATCTTCCCAGCCAAGCCAGTAGAATACATACCTACAGATGTAACTCAAAAGGTTGTAATTGTCTCTGGGAAGATTGGAAATCTGCTTCATCAGCTCCTGGTGAGCCTAGACAGAATTAAAATGAAAAATGTAAATATACATACATATATGTATATATGTATTGTGTATATATATGTGTGTGTGTGTATATATACATATATACATATGTATAAATTACATACTCCATAAGCTCATAGTGAATCTTGAGATTCGCTATGAACATTGGAATGATTCCCCAAGGGAGAGAGTGAAATAATCATTACTCTAGGAACTTTTAAAATAAGGTCACAACAATCAGTCAGGGTTTTAGTATCTATTCTAGAAGGAAGGGTTAGAGGATCATAGAGCTAAAATTGGAAGGACCTTAAAGGTTATCTAGTCCAACTTTCTAATTTTACAAAGGAGAAACCTGAATATATACATATAGATATATATGTATATATACACATACACATATACATACATATCCATAATAACATATAATAATATAAATAATGTGTGTATATACATACATACTTATATATACATACATACATACATATATATCCCAAGTCCTAAAGCTCATACTACAATAGCTTACATTTCCTTAGTGTTTTGAAGTTCCAGGAGAATGTCAGCTCCTTGAGGGCAGGGGCTGTTTGGTTTTTTACTTTGTATCCCCAGTGTCCAGCACAGAGTAGACACTTAATAAACACAGATTCAATTGAATTGGTAGGCAGAGTGGTATGGTAAACAGGAAGACTGGACCAGGGGTGGAATCTTGGCACTGTTACTTAGTACCCAAGTCATTTAACTTCTCCGGGGCACTTCCTGAAAATCTCTAAGACTGCTGAAAAGCATTTTCCTCACAAGAGTCCTGTGAGGTAATTGGTAGAAATAAAAGACCACTGGGTCTGATCAGATTTGGGGTTGAATTTCAGCTCTGCTCCTTACTTCCTCTTCCTCAGTGACCCAAAGCAAGTGATCTTCCCCTCTGTCCCTAGGTTTCTTCCCCTATAAAAAAAAAAAAAGGATTGGAGATGAACTCCACAGCCCCTTCTAGCTCTGAGTCTGTGGTTATTCACTGGGGCAGTAAAAAAACCAAACCCAGCCATGAAAATTCTGTTATCTATTTAACCTAGCTAGCTCCAAAACTCTTCTTTGATGGTGAAGTAGAGGATTAGAATCCAGGCCCCAGGCTCTTCATACTTTACCCTGTAGTCACAAGCATCTTGTTAGGGGACCCAGTGTCAAAATGGACCAACAACATGAAGGAAAAAACAAAAACCCACTCTCCAAGTCAGCCAATGTCATGTGAAGGAGAGAAGCTGCTTGTTCTTCCCTTGGGCAAACTGAGTTTTTTTAAAAGGGGGGGGGAGGGAAGGGGAGGGGAGGGGTCTGTGGTTAATTTGCTAACCTGTCCACAAGGAGTTTATTGTTGCTCATGGGTCGATGAGCAAAAAGGATTCATCAAGGATCAAAAAACCCCCCAGCCCTTTGCTTGTGAAAAACCACAGTTTGCTCTCTCTCACCCCCAGCTGCTCCTTTCACTTCTCAAAGAGTTGTAATTTTAGTTATCACACCATAGGACCATAGGATGATAATGGGTTGATCAGATAGAGAGCTTAAAGATTATCTAGTCCAGGAAACGGAACCTGCAGCCTCGAGGCCACATGTGGCCCTCTAGGTCTTTGGGTGTGGCCTTTTGACTGAGTCCAAGTTTTACAGAAAAATCCTTTTATGAAGGGGATTTGCTCTGTGAAGTCTGGATTCAGTCAAAGGGCCGCACTTGTGGACCTAGAGGGCCACATGTGTCCCTGAGGCCGCAGGTTCCCCACCCTGATCTAGTCCTATCCCTTCATTTCATAGTGAGGGAAACTGAGGACCAGAGAATTAAACCCAAGATCACTTAGTAAACAAGCAGCACAGCTGGTACTAGACCCCAGGACCCCCCACTCAGACCCACAAGTTCTTTTCATTGCAATTTATATATAGGGAGTCACCTATTTAACACAAATCCCCCGCTTTCCCTTTTTAATTTCATTAACTTCATTGCCAGCGAGTAGCAAGAAGCCAAAGAGATGATGGTTCCCTTGACTCTGCTAGAGGCTGTAATCCCTTCTAACTGCACCCAGTTACAATGGTCATAACCACAATGAGAAACATTTTCATCTGAAGCAAAACCAGTTAGTAGTGGCAGGGGGTGGGGGTGGGGGTGGGGAGAGTGATGCAACGATGCAGAGGAGAGTGTGACTACCAGTGTCCCATAACGCTGGAAGAGAGTTCCTAAACTTGCCCTTGGCTAAAGTTGGAGAAAGCAGGGAGGTGTCCGCTGTGACAAGTCTGGGGGAAGGAGGAGGCTGCACCTCTTGTTCAGCTGAGCTGGTGAGAAAGAGAGGAAGGTGAGGAAGCACCTGCCGTTGGAATGTCTTCAAATGCTCAGACAACTCTCAGATGGTAAGAGGGGAATTAGATTAGTTCAGCTGGACCCCAGAGAGCAAAACAAAGATGGAAATTGAAGAGAAGCAGGTTTTGGCTTTTATGAGGAAAGGCTGCCTAACAAATCGGTCCCATTTTAATAACAGCTCAGATAAGCGACAAATTTACAGGGGATCATATGTAACCGAGAGAGAGTGAGAGACAAAAATTCAAAATTCAAAATTTTGTAAAAATGAATATTACAAGTTGACTTTACATACAATTGGGAGAGAATAAAATAACATTTTTAAAAATTCACAGTGGATAGGTGCTGGGCTTAAAGTCAAGAAGACCTGAGTTCAGATCCTCCTTCACACACTTATTAGTTGCATGACCTTCAGAAAATCACTTAATCCCTCTAAGCCTTAATGTCCTCATCTGTAAAAATGAGACGATTGGACTCGGTGGCCTCTAAAGTCCTATGATTTTATAATCCCTTAGATTTAATGACCCCAGTAGAACTTTCTGCTGCAGGGGGAAAATTCTCTTCCTTGTAGAAGAAAGTCCGTGTCATTTTTCAAAAAATACTAATTTCTAGAATTCTATAGAAAAATTACATATTATATATGTATACGTATATAGATAGACACAGATATAGATGTATAAATAGGTATAGACTTTCATACAATTGTAGAATTTGAAGCCAGAAAGGCTTAGAGGTCTAGTCCAATCCCTTTACTTTATAAGCTAAGAGAAGATACCCAAGGTCATGTAAGTGATAAGTAGCTACCATTTTGTGCTAAATGGAATTTTCACAAACGAACCTGCTTTAGGACTAATTTGGGCAATATTTGACTCCTAGAACAATTCCCAGTAAAGAAATTACTTCCTTTATGAGCAAATTACTTTCCTTATAGCCCAGGGACCATACAATAATACCTTTGATTCAATAATACAATAATACCTTTGATTCATCTGCATTCATAAGTTTGCCACACAGCAGAAATCCTTCATATTGACTCCAGGGCACCACAGGGTCAGGGAGTTCTCGAAGGTAGAGCTTCAACAGGGAGGCCACAGTGTGGACATCCGTATCTCTGCAAGATAACAGGTACCCTCGACTTAAAGGGAAACATTTAAATTCACTCTCAGAGTCATAGAATCCTAGAGATTCTATAGAACTATAGAATATGAAATGTCAGAGCCAGAAGAGCCCTTAGAACAAAGAATCTAGAACGTTACAGCTAAAAGTAACCTTAGAGACCATCTACTCTGACTCCCTTATTTTGATTTCTATTATGACAGCAATAATTTTTTTTTAAATCCATCTCACCTACAGCAAGTCATTCTGATCAATGTATGATGGTCCCTACGGTGTCTTACAAAATATGGTAAAAGATCAATATGGTAACTACGTGGGTCCTTGGTTATCAACATCCATGAGTGAACTTGTATAGAAATATTGTTATTTGTGCAATGTGACAAAAAGATTATGAAGTCTAGGATGTAGTTCACACTTACTGGACCCTCACATTTGCAAAAGAAGGTGCCCCAATCTTTTAGCATTAAACCTTTGAAGTCTGTGGTCTGGAAAGAGGATAAGACTGGGAGTCAGCAGACCTGGGTCCTTGTCTTGGCTCTGCCATGAACTTCTGTGTACCTTTGGATAATAATGCGTCATTTCTAGGGCACTTGAATGTTTACAAAATGTTTTCCTCCCAACAATCCAGTGAAATAGCTAGTGGAAATAACTTTTATCCTTATTTTACAGATGAAGAAACTGATGCTTAGCAAGGTGAAGCATCTCATCCATGGGTCATGCAGCTAGCTAGCCAGTGTCAGAGCTAGGATTTATATGCAGGTCATCTGGCTCTAAACGCAGTCTTCTTTCCACTCTACATCCTTCTTCTCAGGTCACACATCTACTTCTCAAGGCCCCGCTAAGCCTTTGTCCTCATCTATAAAATGAGGGGTGTAGATTAATGAATCTCCAGGGTCTCATCTAATTCCAACCTCTATGGTCCTACAGACAGAGAATGGGCCTCCCCATTCATTCTTATGCCCAGGGAGCATTGTCCAATTAGGCAGGTGGCTAAAGTTTGGTAAGGATTTAAGAGATTATGAATTCCACATAAATTTTTAAAAGTTTCCATCAGCCTGGAATGTCCTTCACCCTTCCAAATCTTAACTACCTATATTCCAAGGCACAGTTCAAATCCCACTTCTTCCACATAACTAGATTTAAATCAGATGACTCAAGTTCAAATCCCAGTGGCCTCCACATGCTATCTGTGTGACTTTGGGGAAATCATTTAACATTTCTGGTTCCTCATCTATAAAATGAAGATATCAGATGACCTCTAATGTCCCTTCCAGATCTTCTGTGATCCTTCCCTGACTACATCAGGCCACATTCATCTCTCCGTTCTCTAAACCCCCATGGCACCAAGCCAGAACCACTCAGTCTGGTGCCTCATTATTCTTTAATTCCGTTCTGAGTGTTAATCTCATCTGACCAGCTTTGAGTACTTTTCCCCAAAGGGAGGAGATGGGGCACTATGCCAATGTTTGGGGGCCAGTTAACAGGGCCCATGGGAATAAACCCTCCTAAGGAAGGAAGATGTGGTCTCTGAATCATGATCTGAAAGAATAAACAAGAATCCATGCCAGGTCAGGCATAGAGTAGGCAGGGTAACCAATTCCAAGGGCTAAGCAGGAGAAAGAGGCATCTGTAGCACTCATCCAAAATCAGGGAACAGAGTCTGGGAGAACTCACACAAAGGTGCCAGCTCATAACAGTAACTCACATTTATCGGTTTACAAAACACTTCCCTCACATTAGCCTGTGAGGCAGATGGTTCCATGAGGGTAGGTAGTCCTGTTTTATGGATGAGGAAACTGTTTCCCAGAGAAGGAAAGTGATCTGTGTGTGGACATACAGCTGGTCAAGGTCCAAGCTAGAATTTAAACACAGGTCTCCACCCTACCGCACTGTCTGTCACAGTCTCATGAAGCTTCTCTGCCAAGATAGCTTCCTTTCATGGTGGTGGCATGCTAACTTACAATCTCCATGTCCTGTGTTGGTAATCCCATGTGCCAACTAGATTTTAAGTTGTTATAAGTCTTGATAAATATTTGGTTAATTGATTGATTGAAATGGACATAGGCCATCTAATGTATCTTCTTGACTATTTAGTGAGATGGTGATGCAGTTCTAGAGAGGTGGAAGATTTATTTTCTAGAACTATTAAAAAGACAGTGAGACTATCTTGAATTGAAGAAAGAGCCCTGGCCTGGAGTCAAGAGTCGAGTCCTGGTCTCTAGTTCTGGTTTTGATAGTAACATGCTGTTTGACTTTAGATAGCTTACTTCATAGACTTTCCATATCATGTAGTCCAATTCCTTTGTTTTGCAGATAAGGAACCTGAGTTCAAAAGAAGTTAAGTGACTTACCCAAGATCACACAGCTTGTAAATAAGATTGGAGCTAGTGTCCTCTGAATTCAATATCATAGACCTTTCCACTAAGAGCAATTACCACAAAGTCCTCAATCTATAGCACCAATCCTAGAATAAGAACACTGAGGTGGGGAGACAACTGATCTAACCATTTCCTACTTCAGTGGAAAGCGCAGTAGATTTATGTCAAAACACCTATGGTTGGAAGTCTAGTTCTGCTATACAACAGTTGTGTGATCTTAGGGAAATCATTTCCTTTCTCTGGGCCCCCTCAGTTAAATGAAGGTGTCAAACTGTATCAGTCAATCAATAAGTATTTATTAAGGGTCTGGTATGTGTAAGCTCCGGGGATACAAAAAGAGGCAAAAGATGGTCCCTGACCTCAAGGAGGTTTCAATCTAATGGAGGAGTTTACTATCTAATTCATTACTGATATACATGATTTCTAAGGTTGCTTCCAGTTCTCAATTCTGTGAACTCAACCTAACGAGCTGAAGGATTTTTCCCTGTTCTCATATATGATTCCCGCCTCCAACACAAGGCTAGGTCTTCCACCGATACCTTTCAGTCAAAAGGATGAGCCTCACATACTCTGTGGACATGGAGATGGACCCTGCCGAAGGGCACTGTTTGCTTCCCTAGGCAAACTGGTGACTTATTACCCGGCACACCCAGCAAAGACAGAGAATTTAAGCTGTCTGTTTCATAGACACAAAACCATCTGAGAAGGCTAGAAAAGATCTCAACAACTGTCTAATCCTACACCCTCATTTTTCAGAGAAGGAAACTGATGGCCAGAGAGGTTGAGCAGCTTGACCAGAGTCATGCAGTTAGTTAGTGGAACAGCCAGGACTAAAACCCAAGTGCCTGATAGATGTGTTGTTGCCAGAATATTTCTCATGTATACATCTTGTTATGCCATTCCTCTGCTGAAAAATTCTCCAGTGGCTCCCTTTTACTTACCAAATCAAGTTCAAATTCATTATCCCCAAGAAGAAAATAAGTTCCTTGAGGATAGACACCATTTCATTTTTATCCTTGTATTCCAAGCACCTAGTTCATAGCAGGCACTTCATAAATACTTCCTGATCGATTGATTGACTTCGCCTTCCAACATGTTCTCATATTACCATCTGCTATACACTCTATAACTTAGTCAAGCTGGTCTATTCCTACCTGTTCACCACACCTATGTTTGACTCTCTCCATTCTTCTGTTTTCCTTGTTCTGTCTACAGTGTCCTCCCTCTCCTTCACCACTTATTGAATTATTACCTGTCCTTTAAAGTCCAAGTGAAATACTACTGCCTCCAAGAGCCTTCCCTGAACTTACACCCTCTTCTCCAAGTCAGAAACCTTCTTCCAATGGAATTCAGGTAGTACTGTGCTTCGCATTTCTTTAATGTCTCAGTTTCCCTATTCATAAAATGAGGGTGTTGGACTAAATGATCTTTGTGTTCTCATCTAGCTTTAAATTCTATGGACTTATCATTTATTATGTCTTTTAGGTAATTTTTTTCTTCCTCCTGCTAGACTTTTAGTTCAGTAATGACCCCTAGATCTGTTCTGGCAAAAAAGCAATGTCTCTCGGTCTTCTAAAGAATCCACTGATCGCCAGCAAAGTGGATGCCAAGTGCCACATTACAATTCACTGTTTTATCTAAACCTTAAATCCATGAGTGTGCTAGGTAAATGTCTAAAAAACAGCTCTTTGGGAGGAAAATGCATGAGTGACACTCTTTTAAATTTAATCTGCATGATTGAAGCATACTATTTGCTCTTTTTCTGTTTCTTCTTTCTCATGGTTCCTCCCATTGGTTCTAATTCTTTACAACATGACTAATGTGAAAACATATTTAATATGAATGTATTTGTAGAGCTTTTATCAGATCACACACCTTGGGGAGGGAAGCGGGGAGAGGGTGGGAGAAAATTTAGAACTCAAAATCTTATGGAAATAAATGTTGAAAACTAAAAATTAATTAAAATAATTTAAAATGAAAAAACAAATTTAATCTGCATCATTAACACTTTCTCCATCCCTTCCTTAAGTCTAGAGACAATCAGCAAAACAATAACCGAATCCTAATTTGTTTCAACTTCCAGAGTATAAATAATCATACTGAAAATTTAACAATCAGCTCTCTCAAACCAGTCTGAGTTGGTTCTAGCACACCCCTGTTCATATCTTCCCTAATAACTAGCACAATGTTCTGTACCCAGTAGGCACTTAATAAATGTTTGAGGAAGGGAGAAATGAAGAAAGGAAAGGAATGAGCAAGGGAGAGACAATTCTAGCTTGTTCCAGTAGGGTTCCTTTGGGGAGCACACATCTGAAGTGTTCCTTATGGCTGACTCAGGAAGGCTTAAACTCCTTAACCTGGCACTCAGGGTCCTTCGAGGTCTGGTATCACTCTATAGTTCCACTCTTTTCTCATTTTACTCAGTACAAACAGTACACAACAACTCCGCCTCCTAATCCAAGTGCAGATGAGCATTCAGGAAAGATTGGACTTACCGTTCAAAAGAGGGTCGCTCCCCAGCATCAAAGGCATCCCTCAGTTTCTTCACCAAATTGTCCTGACCAGGCAGTCGAAAGATACCTTCCTCATTCAGGCCATGTTCTCTGATGAACTCCATACACTTCTCTACCAGGATGGGCACTGAGTAATGCCCAAATTTTTGTTCATATGCCACAGTCTCATCCAGTCGCTGACCAAATACCACTGATGAGAGAAAAGGCAAAAATGGGGTGTGCCCACCAATTCCAAAACCTGCTAGTCCTGGTTTCCTCTCAATGAACTGGTCAACTTGCTTTGTCAATTTCACCTACCCCTTCCCAGATGCCAACATAGACTCTGGAACTGAAAGGATCCTTAGAAATGATCTAATTCAGTATCTCTATTTTATAGAAGAGGAAACTGGGACCCCAAAGAGGGGAGGAAACTTGCTGAAGATCACAAAGGTCAATCAATAAAATCAATAAACTTTATTAAATACCAACTATGTGCCAGGCAATGTGCAAATCTGGGTATCCACACAGGCAACAAGCTGCAGAGTTGGTACTCAAACACAGGTCCCTTGCCTCCAATTCCAATGCTCCTTCCTTTGCTCCATATCATGTCTCATGGTGCAGTTATAAGTTCTCAACTTTTTTAATATCATGAACATCTTTAGCAGTCTGGGGAAGCCCATGGACCCTCATCTCAGAATGATGTTTTTAAATGCATAAAATAAAATACATAGAATTTCAAAGGAATCAAATCATATTGAAATAATTATAAAAAAAAAAATTAAGACAAGTTCATGGGCCCAGGTAATTGCACTGGATTGGAAATCAGAGGCCCTGGTTTTGAGTTCTGTAACACTCACTAGCTCCATGGCCTTGGGCAAGAGCTTCAGTTTCCTCCTTTGTAAAATGAGGATAATAATCTCAAGGGGTTATTGTGTGCAGAAAGTCCTTTGTAAACCATAAAATACTATGGAAATAGGAGACAGTATAATTATCAGCCCCAGATTCTACCTTAATGACTACACAATATAGTTTGTTCCTAAGAAGCATATGTTGATGATAACAGTTATTTATTCAGTCAGTCAACAATTATCTACTAATACTATATATGCTAAGAATTGGGGATACAAAGACAAAAGTGAAAACAGTCCCTACCTAGAAGGGGCCTTAAGAATCCATTACAACTTTTGCTTTTATGCCAAGGAGCTCCAACATACCCCTTGAATATCTCTCAAATACCCTAACCTCCCACTCCATCATTTTCAGTTCTTGTGACCTTCTATTCCACCACTCCAACTCTGCCATACATAAGAATGATTCAGACACACTTATTCTTGTCATCATTCACAAGGATTTACATTCTAAGATCAAAAGTTCTAGAATTCCTTTATCTGATAATAGCCTCCTATCATTACATCTCTTCCTATACCTTCCTCCTCCTCAACCTGCTCTTCATCTTCGCCAAGACCTTCACTGCACCCTTCAGTATTTCTTAGGCCATCACCTTGACTCTGACTTCACTTTCCTCCCTTCCCAGTCTTGACCCTTTAGTTCACCAATTCAGCTCTCTCTACACCACGTTCTACTTTTAAAACCCTTACTCCACTTGTGCTTTGCCAAACCCCATCCATCCTTGGCTTTTTCCCATCATTCACCTCCTCCTCTTCTCATTGTTGCTGAGTTGTTTCAGTCATATCCAACTTTCTGTGACCCCATTTTGGGGGTTTCTTGGCAAAGGTAATGATTTTATATTTTACGTATAAGAAACTGAAACAAACAGGGTTTGATGACTTGCCCAGGGTCACATAGCTGGTAAGAGTCTGAGGCTGGATTTGAATTCAGGTCTTCCTGACTCCAGGTCCAGCACTCTATCTACTACACTACTTTGCTGCCTTAGCTGAACACAGTAAGCAGTTAATAAGTGCTAGTTGACTGACCGACTAACTGACTGAACTGCTTTATGATAATCAAGCTAAGAGAGGCCAAGACAAGGATCCACTTCAAGACAGCATGGCTGACTCCCTGGGGCAGTATCCCCATTGGCCATGTATGATGTATGTGTATGCTATATATGTCTTTGGTTTCCATAAACCATTTTCACTCTCTTGAAAATGTGCAGCTGCAGCAATAACTTTTGGAGGAGAACTACATTTTGCAAATCCTCTGAGGCTCACAAGGCAGTTATTTTCCTTTCTGAGGTACTTGCTAGGCAACAAGGTAGGGCAGTGGAGTCAGGGCCAAGACTGGAGTCAGGAAGACCTAAATTAAAATCTGGCTTCAGACACTTACTACCTGTATGACCCTGGGCAGGTCACTTGGCCCCTGTTTGCCCAGCTTCCTCATTTGTAAAGTGGGGATAATAATACCACCACAATAACTCAAAACATTGACAGGATAAAAAATGCCGCACTGGAAACAGAAAGAGCTGTGATCAAACCCTGCCCATCCTACCTTGTTGTGAAGTGACCGTGGTTAAAAATCTTTGAGCCTCAGGCAAAGTTCTAGATAGGGTGGGATTTCTAGTTGGTAAACTTTAACAAAGCGTTTTCTCCACAGCAATCATGTGAGATTGAATTGATAATTAATTTATGAAATTATGAAATGGGGGCAGAAACACCCAGTTCTTTGGGTACTTGCTGAGAAAGATCACAACGAACAGCAAGAATCAGGCAGCAGCCAACTTTAATACAGCCCAGAGATAAGTAGAGAAAAGTGGTACAGAGGCACACAGCATAACTCGGAGCCAGAGAATGGGATGGCACAGGGAGGCAGTGTGAGGAAGAGGATGAGGAGCAGGAAAGGCAGCGAATACCACTCTTGTAAGCGTGGAGTAGAGTTGGGAGCACTCAGCAACGTGAACCCAGTGGAGATGCAAGAGTTCTGGGAGCGGGGGGGGGGGGGAACAGGAGTTTGAGGTCTCCCTTTATAGGTGTTTGGGGGGAAACAGACTAACTCTTATCTGCGCCATCTTAGGGTCAGTTCATTAACATATCCAAAATCATCTCAAAGTCATCAGCATCTTTTTGATGTTCTGCGAGTCTGGAACCATGCAGGTCTGGAGTTTGTCAGGAATTTACATATCATAAGACCAGAACCTTGACAAGCAGCACCTAATGGTTTCCTCCAATTTAGTACGTATTACCAGGATGTGAATTTTCGTTAATATATGATACAATTTGTAAATTATCTTCCTTTGATTTTTTTGGGACAGTTTGTATGTGACTTACAAAAGGTTCCTCTTTGCAATCTTATTTCCTACTAAAACTTATTCTACTGACTAGAAGCTAGGACTGGCTTTGGGGGGTGGTCAAGAGGACAGAACAAGATATAATTTTAACACAGAGATAATAAGAACAGCTAGCATTTATATGGCACTTTAAGGTTCACAAAGCACTTTAAAAACACTATCTTATCTTCATAATAACCCTTGGAGATAGTTAGTATTACTGTCCACATTTCACAGATGAGAAAACAGAGGCAGAGAGATTAAGTGACTTGCCCAGGGTAACACGGCTTAGTAAGTGTCTGAAGCTGTCTTTCCTGACTCCAGGTCCAGCACTCTGTCCACTGGGCCACTTAAAAATCCTTTACAATCTATTCCACTCCAGGACTCAGTGCCATTTTCAACCTGCCCGACCATAATCTCTTTAATTCAAATTATTTTGAGCGAGCTTTCAGATTCACAGGTAATGTAAGGACCAGTTGATCCATGGATTTCAAGGTAGGTAGTATAGTATTATTAGCCCTATTTTACATATGAGAAAAATGAGGCTTACAAATGTTGGATGACGTGCCCAGAGTCACATAGCTGGTTAAGTAGCAGAGTTAAGATTTGAGCTCAAGTCTCCTGATTCAAAACCCAGC